ACACACACACACACACACACACACACACACACACACACACACACACACACACACACACACACATACGCACACTCCCCATCTCATAGACAGTGATGATGCAGTGCCCCCTAGAGCCCGATCACAAAAACGCTCAGGAGGAGTTTGACTTGCAGCAAGTGTCCTGCTTAAAAAATTATACTTAAAGGTCAAACGGTTGACATTATACAGCCTATGCTTTTAAACTCTTAAAGAAAATTTAAATTAATTCAGAACTTAAATTTAAAGCTTAATTTATATATTTATTTCACCTTAAATGCAAAAAAAAAACGCCTTCAAGCAAGAGGAGATAAAGATATTCCTGTTTTTATCTTTTTACAATAATAAGTAATCCATTTGAGCGTTTAAAAGGGAGTGGACAGCTCTACTGTTTTGCAAAGCCATACTTATGTGCCTCTATTGCCATCTGCTGGTGACATCTAATGCTCAAACCCATTTTATTTAGAATTTCAAATCTGTTCCAGTGTGTGATGAGAAATCATTTTTACAAGCTCCGATTTGGTCTGTAAAAAGCCTTAAACCTGCAGCCAAAGCTGGTAAAGAACAAAAAAGGAACGTCACCTAAAATGCAGCGGATCAGAAAGCTTCTGCTTAGAAATGTGTTCCGATAATGCATCCTGTCAAAATATACTTGTCTCATACAATATTACTGTGCGTTATTAGTTCCTTGCCTGGCCAATCTCCCATCACTAATATTGTGTCCTGCAGCTTTGATTCGTCTCCCATCAGCAGCCATCAGAGGCTTTCATTTCCTCCTCAGACAGATACGAACTCCCCCGACGGTCCCAGGTTTCAGCAGCATCGTTGTCCGACGGCCAACAAACAACACAAGGCAAACAARAAAGCAGATGAGCTTTTCATACACATCACTACCCAAACACTCGATGGCTCAGGAGATAAAAGCTGCTGGACTGCATTTGGAGAAAATTGGTCTTGTGATATCCTCATTTGGATCAAAGCTATCTTGTGTGTCTTTGGATTGCTTATTCTGTTTGAAAGAGTTATCTGCAGCGTGGCTGCCTCACAGCCTTTTGTTAACAGGGACTTAATATATTTGGGCGCTGCATTTGTGCAGCAGTGATGTCGTGTTTTATTTAATCTTCATTTGGTGTTAGTCTGGGTCACAGAATACAAACAGTCAAACTTTGAAGAAAATACTTTTTTTTATTATTGTTACATGTACCTGCCATGGTCACTGAGATACAACAGTTATAATAGATATTCTCGATTTTAGGAGCAAAAATACAAATCTTTTTTATTTTCTTCATGACATTTTCACCTGGCAAAAGCTTCATATATTTACTGATAGTCTTTACTTACACAGATACAGTATTTTGTGCACAACAAAATATATGATGAGACCTGCAGAAAGCATTTATCAGATTAACTACAATCAGTACAAAGCACATGCAGACATGTGCTGGTCATTGTGCTTGTGTGGTCGATAGGAATTAATTCCAAAAYGTCAGAAAATAAAAATCATTTTCAATTTATTTTTAAAATCTGGGGTAAATAAGTGCTTTAGGGTGGCAATTCTTGATTAAAAAGGTGCTTTCTCATAAGTTAATATGTAAAAAGTGCCTCAAAAGTTGAAATAATTATGCAGTTAATCTTTTGTAGCAAAGCAAATGTTGCTACAAAGAGTAAATAAGAAAAATKGCTTCATTTGTTTTGCCATTTTACTGGAATCCTCTGATCTTTGTAAACATATTGGAGTAGTGGCACATACTTTCACCCCAACACTGTCCAGCTTCACTGTGTGCTGTTTTTTTCAAGCTGATTTCCTTCAGCAAAAAGAGGACTGGATCGGGAGTTTCATTTTTCTCGGGGACTATTTTCTTTGGGGTTGTGGGGCCTGCGGCTCTAAACTTTCAACATTCTTTTTGGTCAGAGAGAGACTTTGAAAGAAATCAAATATCAGCACTGACGAGGCTGGCACAGACAACAAATACTCTCACTACAAACACTACTACAACCACTACAGTGACGTACGCTAGCAGGTCTTTACGTTTCTTTTGGTTTCTGTTCAGTGTTYCGAAGTGMACACAACAAAATATCATGTTAAAATAAAATAGTGGGAGAAGCAGACCTGCTTTGCTGAGGCACATCTAAAGATGTCGCAAACATTGTTTAACCTTACTTTAAAATGTGCTTTAAGATGAGTGCTTTTCACTAGAAATTATTTGTAAAATGTTTTTGAAATAAGGAGGTCCAAACATTAATATTAGTAGGAGTACGAAGTCAGTAGCTATACTAGTGTTATGCTTTCATTAAAACACTGACTTTTATACACTATCTGCCTATATATCGTTACATTAGTGTGTGCAGCTACATTCTTGGTTTTACGACCCGCAAATCCAAAGAAGTTGGAATGTTGGAAATGTAAATGAGAACAGAATGCAATGATGTGAAAATCTCATAAAACCAGAGTTTATTCACAATGAAATATAGTGAGCATATCAAATGCTTAAACTAAGAAACTGCACCATTTTTAGAGGGGGAAAATTTGGTCATTTTGAGTTTAACAGCAGCAACAAGTCTCAAAATCCTAGAGACAAGAGCAAAAAAACGGCTGTAAAAGTAAGTGGCTTAAAAACAAACGTCCCTAATCATTGCATTCTGATTTATTTGCATTTTATCGTCACAATTTTTTTTAATAAACTATCACTTTTTTTAAAACTGTAAACTAAATGTGTAGTTTTAATGGTAGTTGTATAAAAATTAAAGACAATCTAAATTGTCTTTTCTTTAAATAAGAAAGCTGCAGGCCAGTGGATTAACAACTTGTGCTAACGCTAGTTTGGTGTTTGTACTTTATAATTAATGGTGTGCCCGTTTACATTTTATAGTAAAAACACTTCTTCATTTCTAAACCAGCATTAAAAGAGGCATAACTGCCCAAATTATTTAAAAAAATATTGAAGCTGAATTGTAACAGAGTGAATGTAAACAATAGAGAAACGCCACAAACTGGGTTTTCAGTTTTTTCAGGTGCTACTCGTCCGCCTTGTTTGGCCCCTTCTCCTCCGGAACAGACATGAAGATCTTCTGACAGAACAACGTGAARATTTCTGAGGAGAAACATGTCATGTGAGCTGTTTTCTTTGGCTTTCTCGGGTTTGTAAAAGTGAAATAAACATTGCATCAGCAGGTCAGGTCTTCGCACCAGCAGCTATTAAAAACAAATAAAGTGTAACAGGGTGTAAGGTACACTCTGACACGACTTTTATACCACGCTGCAGGAAGCCTCGTCTGAGCAAACAGACGCAGCTCTTCACTCACCCAGCATCTTCTGCACCATATGGGGCTTTTTCCACTTGTAGCCCAGCAGATAYGCAGGAATGCCTGTGAGGATGATGCTGCCGCCGACCAGACTCTCGAACGGAGCGGCCCAAAATGACACGACAATCATGAAGACGCAGCCCAACACGAACGTTATGGGGATAAAAAGATACACCTGCAGAAAGAAAATGAAAGCCTCGGCKACTTGAAGGAATCACAGATAAAGAAAGAAAAATGACTTTTAAACAAAGAACTGATGGTAAATACGGATGATTTAGAACAAACTAGAGAATTTGCATTTCCTGATAAAATGCTGTGTGGATGATTTTCACTGAAAGAGTTTTCCTAAAAGTTACAGAAGAAGCCGAAAAATGTTTAATAGCAAAACTGTTAACGTGAGTTAAATGTGAACAGCTGACATAAGAAATTAGGAAAATAAAAGCAGAAACAGTTTGAAATTAGAAAACGGTGAACGGGAAGTAAAAATGTGAAATTGGCAGAAAAAAGAAAGGGAATGAAAAAAAAGGTGCAATTTGTTGTAAAACAGCTAAAGCAGCTGAAATCAGAAATAGATTAAAAGTAGCTAAAAAGGTGAAATTAGCACAAAGAAGCAGAACGAGCATATTTACTGAAAGAGCCAGAGTAAGAAGGTGAAATAATTATCACAAAAAGGTGAACTTGGATGAAAAAACTACAAATAACAGAAATAAGCTAAAGGAAGCCAAATAAAGCTTAAATTYGCAGCTGATAGACAATTAAATAGATTTAAATTAACAGAAGAATGGAGMAGAAAGATAGCTGAAAAAGCTAAAATGATTAAAAAAATAAAGTTGAAGGAAAATAAATGCAGAACCAAAACAAAAGGAGAAAAGTCCAGTAAAAATTTACAAACATTTAAAAGGCTTTAAGGATGTTTAAAACATATCCACTCATTTCAAATGTAATAGAATAAGGCAGAAAAAGCTAAATATCTAAAAAAAAGTATAGGTTGCTGAAATACCAAAAGTCATAAGCATAAATGAGCTAAACATTTTGATATAAAAATTGTTGAAAAAGCACAAATACTTTGATATGAGTTTGAGGGCAAAAGAAAAATGTGTCATCTTAATAGTGTGAATGCTTAATAGCATTCACACAATGAACATCTTCACTTATCTAAGTTACCAAAGTCGAGGAAAGTTTGCCATTTACAGTATTATCATTTATAAACACTTTAGATTTCTATTAACAGAGTCTAAGCTGCAACTTAACGTTGATCTTAAGAAGCACCAGTTTTAATACTGCAGCTCAGCATCACAGGCTGATGATGATTTGTTTGTTCTTACAGAAAAGCTGTTTCTTATAAAACAAGCGGGCTGAGAACACTTTGTATAAATAAAATTCCCACGATAAAAGAGAAACAAAGAGCAGTGTATTCATTCAAACAGCACTCCTTCCTCGCACAAAAACACACAGCGTGGCTCCACTTCCCACTAATAACAAGAGCAGTGGTGCTTCTTTTTAAACTAATGAAAACAGTAAATAATGCAACCTGTTGAGGATTTCAACGAGACAAAGAAAAAAGATGAGGTTCAGGGATAAATTTCAGTGAGGAACACACTCTTTAGTTTAACGTACATGTCCAAAACGTTACCTTTATTGGCCTTTTGAGGTCCGGCTTGGTGATGCGCAGCCACACCAAGCCAGCGATGGCCATCCCCACACACAGCCAGGTGAAGAAGCTGAACAGATTGATGACTGAGAAGATGTCCTGGGACATGGCATACATCATGGACAGGATGCACTAAGAAAACACAAAACTGGTTTTAGTTTCTCACATAAATAACATAATGCAATAATTGTGCAAACTATCTGATCTTGTCTTGTTTTATTTTTTTCAGCTAAAATGTATGTTTTTAGGAAATAAAACCAAAGAACACCTAAATCATTTATTTATTGTTTTGAGTTATATTTTTGTGTTTTCAGATGTTAGTTGGATGTGGTGACCATCCTGATTCAGCCTGGCTCTAACAGTTAAAGAGTTGTGTGATGCCTACTTTCTGCAGGTTTCATTAAAATTGCTCAAATGGTTCATAAGATATTTTTAATAAAAGACAGCTACAAATGCAGAGACAGGTGTATAAACATATCCTGCCCTCACCGATGGGTGACGAGTGATAAAAAAGAAAACCAATAGTAACTGTCATCAACAGATCAATGTCATAACAGAGGAGCCTTACTGTGAAGATGAGGGATGGCACCGGTGTAAACAGGTCTGTGTGAACCAGGCCCAGAGCAGCAGGGAGCTGACCTTCACGGGCTCCTGCATAGAACAAACTAAACAAAGATTTTTTTTTTCCCCCATCAAAATATTGGACTTTGATATTCACGCACCAATAACAGTGAACACACACACACACCYCCTCCACTCTCAGCACAAATTGATGTAAATGTTAAGTTCCTCTCACCGCGCTGAAGTGAAAAGAGATCCGTTGACGGCTCCAAAACAGGACAGGCCCACAAAAACGGGAATCAACCAGGCCATCACGCCAAGATGGTACTCCCCGAAACTCTGCAAAACAAGGRAACAAAATGGAAGACATTAACATCCTGTGAAAAACTGATGATTCACGTAATAAAAAGATTATTCTACAAGCTTGTGCTCACCACAGCAACAGCCTCAGACTCAATCATGACCTGAGGAGGGATGGTGGTGAAATAAGCCAGGTTGGTCAGAACGTACACCACCGTTACTATAGGCATCGATATAATAATGGACAAGGGCAAGTTCCTGTGAGTGGAAGAGTCAATAATTACACTGAAAATTAAAATATGAATATCTCAGCATGGTCATTTCAACTCCACATTAGACTTTAATCTCAAGATCAGTATTTTCCTGGTCATTTTTTTAATTTTTTTGTATCATCTCATCTATACTTTTTTGACCTCGTTTAGCCGTTCAAACATTCAGATCATTCAGGAGATAGATGCTTTAACTTTTAGCTTTTATTCTTTTATACTCTTTAAAAACATTTAACATTATTATTCATGTATCCCATAAAAATACATACAAATCTTGTCAATTCCTTTTAAAATATTGATGTTTTTATGCTGTGTTAAGCTTTAAGCTGCTGTGACGTTTAGCTAGCCTTTTGCTACAATAATTGAGTGTTTTGCTACTTTAAGCTTTAACCTACATTCTGCTTTTTTAGACTTTAGCTAGCCCACTGCTACATTTAGCTTTGAGATAGCTTCTTGCTATCTTTAAAGCTTTTTGATACGTCTTCCTTTAGCTAGCCTTTTATTAAATTTAATTTGTAGCTAGACTTTTGCTACATTTATCTTCTAATAACCTTTTGATATTTTTAGCCAGCCTTTAGCTACTTATAGTTTTAGCTAATGCTTTGCTACTATTATCTTGTCTAATGTTCTGCTTTAGCTTTTAGCTCCTATAGTGCTTATTTTAGCTTTAACGCCTCAGTTTCAGCTCCTTCAGCTTTCACGCTGCATTTTCACAGAAAAGGCAAATTCTCTAGTTAGAATTTGTGTTCAGTTTCATGCAGTCTGGTAGAAAACACGAATTCACAACGTTTATTTTTAGTCAGTGTTGTAATCCATGCTAGATTTAATTAATCAAAACCATAACTGTACATGCAAATCTACACTTTGTACGGTTAATCTCCATGCAGTCGTTTGGTGGTAGACAAGCAGGCATTCATGCGATTGGACTTATATTTACAGGAGCGTCTGTACAATCCTGAAATCAACCTTCATCACTTTTACGTCACCTCTCTGGATTGATCATCTCCTCTGTGACGTAGTTCAGGTAATTCCTGCAGGAGAAACAGAAAGAACGTACCACTTTTCACATGTAAATAAAAATGCCTTTTACAAATGTATGTATTTTTAAATTACTGCTCTATAATAACATCGTAATAAGACATGACTCACCAGCCACCAAAAGCAAAGAGACCGCTGTACAACGCCAAGACAATATTGTCGACGCCCATTTTACTGCCTTCAAATGCCTTTTCAGGTGTCAGATACGGCACATCGCCTGCACATATAGAGGTGGGGAAAGCTGCATGAAAACAGCTGAAATGGAAACAGCAGCTGAAGGTCATGTGAGACTTATGCAGCAAGAGTTTGACAGGATATTTTTGATAGAATATAGTTCTGGTTTGCTGCTATTTTTTTCCCTGCACCCTCACCAGTCTGTTGCTGCCTGCCCTTTAAGTCTCCTGATATTTTCAACCTGAATCTCCCAAGCATGGCCTCTGATGTGCAGAAACATCAACAACTCCAGACCAGCTGRCATTTAAATGTGAGCAGAAGTAGGAGTTTGATGATGCCACAAAAAGCCGATTTATTTGATCATTAATGTGGATTCAGCACATTAAAAACCCTGTCTGCGCAAAACTGTCTTCCTCAACCCGATTTTTGATTTTTCCTCTCAGTGAGGTCTTTTAACGCTCACGTTTTTTTCTAACTGTGTCCTTCTGCGCGCGCGCTCTCAAAGACCACAGTGTGACGACAGCCGCCAAGCTCCACCGCCTCGTTACCGTGGTAACAAAGAGTGGGGGCACAATGGCGGCGGGTGTGGCCTTACAAAAGGAGGGAAAAGAGCAGATGTAGCAGGGGGACATACTGTCCTGCTGCCGTTTCTTTTATTTTTTTCATTCTGTAATTAATAATTACTGCACACATCACTTATCGATTCAAAATGCAGACAGGTTCTTGTCGTTAAATGCACTCTGAAATATTATGTTAGATGAGCCCTGAGCAGACGAGACCGGCATGAAGGAAACTGTGCACCACAGTGTTCGGCCCACAGAGACACACGTGTGCACTGATGCACATTCGAACTGAAAAACATAGCTGCAGACAGACGGGCCTTGTGTTCAGACTGAGCAACTGTGCTGACGAACTGAAAGGAGAGCATCCTGCTTCGTTAGGCTCATTAGCATTCATCAACGTTTGGCTGATCATCAGTCAAAATAAACCCCCTCTTTACTGTAAATGTAACATAATGAATAGGGACAGCGGAATTGTAACAGTAGCCCATATGTTCATTTGAAATGTGAAAACAGCAGCCGTGTTTACGTAAAGAACTAAATGTGTTAGTTTTTATTGTTACTGTAAATGAAACAAGAGTTGTGTTAACTTAAAATGTGTTAATGCAGAAAACTAAAACCCTTAAAGCATTTAAAGAGTGAGCCCAGATTTTCTAAGGTAGGATTTTGTGAAAATGTCATGAAAAGTTAATATCTTACCTGTTGTAGATAGTGTTTTGAACAATTGTGTGCAGAAAAGAGTTTAATTCTTACATTGTAAACCTTCACACAGCCATTAGTTTTGCATTTCTGTGAGGTTATTATGATATTCTTACTAGAAGTGCTGCAGGACCCAAACCAAAGATGATTGTTGCCATTTTAAAACAACTATATATATATATATATTAGGGGTGCAACAATACATGTACCCGTATCAAACCGTTCAATACAGAGCTTTAGGTTCAGTACACACTTTTATTGAACAATACAGATATTTTTTTAATTTATTTTATCAGTTTATCTTCTGAAGATGCTCTGTGTTGAAGAATCAGTGGATCTGCATTCGACCACTCTATCTAGGCTGCATTGTCGAGTGCAGATCCACTGAGAAACTTGTTGTTTCAGCAACATTTAATTTAAAAACTCTAGTTTCGACGTTGAACAAATGTTTATAATTGATTTCAATAAATTACAAGTTAGAAAGTGCATGGAAATACCTCTTTTTTGTATCAAAAAAATATCGAASCGTGAGACGAAAGTATTGAACCGAATAATGAATTTTCTGCATCGTTGCAACCCTATTGCAGCTACATATACAGCATATAGCCATCCATGACTTATTCTGGTAGAAATATTAGCTGTTATTTGCAGCTGCACAAAATCATAAAACATAAATAAAAATTTAGAACAAAAGTTATGGTCATGCAAAGAGTGATAAAATAGTGTTTGCATTAATCGCTATGAAACGTTTGAGATTTAAGTGGATTTCAGACCAAATAAACTGTTTTTCTCTAAGATTAAAGAACTTTCTTTGACAGTTWAGTGTTTTCAAAGAATGCCACTTTAAAAGTTTTGAACTGCCTTGAAGTATGTATACACATATCAATTAATTGATCATAAGGTATTCCAAAAAKGAAACATATGTCACACTCTGAATCAAAAACAAAAAAATGATCAATATCTGTATATTTTTAAGACAGAGTGGCTCTGGCGGTCTGAGGTCTGAGTGTTCAGCCCCTAACCTGTGAAAATCTGGATGAAGCCAAAGAAGATGATGATGATCAGCGCTATCAGCTTGGACGCTGTGAACAAGTCCTGGACCTTGGTGGCCGCCCTCACGCTGATGCAGTTTACAAATGTCAGGGAGGCTGTGAGAGAGGGGAGTGAAATCAGAAACTCACCTGCAGGCAGCTGAACGATCGAAACGATAAAACATTTCTGGAGCTGCTCTGTAAAAGTCTACTCACTAAGACACAGGCAGGCGATGAGCTTGGCGGCGCCGTCCGGCACGGCGCAGCTCGGGTACAGAGGCTTCAGGAGGTAGGTGGCGAACACCAGCGACACCACGTACTGCGACGACGGCCGGATGATCAGCATCTCGACCCACAGCTTCAAAAAAGCCGCCAGTTCCCCGTACACCTCAAGGATGTACGTGTAGTCGCCCCCGGACTTGGTGATGGTCGTGCCCAGCTCGGCGTAGCACAAGGCCCCCATGGTGGACACCACCCCGCAGGCGGACCAGACGATCAGCGAGAGGCCAGCGGAGCCGGTCTCCTTCACCACGCCTGTCGGGGTGACGAAGATTCCCGAGCCGATGATGGTGCCGATGATCATGCCGACGCCGTTGAAGAGGGTGATGCTGCGTTTGAGCTCGATCTTTTCTGGCTTGGCGGGCAGGCTGCTGGTGGGGCTCGTGGCAGAGGGGGCTATGGGGGCCGACGGTGACGCCGGGTGCTCAACAATTTCCTGCTTGGAGTTTGGTTCTGTACAACAAGAATGATGGAGATCAATGCACGTTTCTTTTAATTCTTATTCACTAAAACTCCGCTCACGATGAGGCAGACARAAAAATAAGGTTGTTCAGATCCATTTTTAAACCAGTTTTACAAGAATTACACTGTGATGCAACTTTTTTTTCTGTTCTGTTCTTATTTCACATATCATGAAATGGCTTTGACCTGTTAGCATCACACACAAGTCATCGCACAATTCATTAAGTCTGCAGTTCGAGTCTTGCATCAGGCAGGGTTGCATCAGAGCGCACGGTGGAATAATGCAGCTCTGCACCATGTGTTTACAGGCGTGTGAGCTGTACTTACCCTCCATCTTCTGCTGGCTCACCTCTGCCTTAGCCACGCTCTCCCGGCTGCTTCTCAGCTTCAACTCCGGCTCAGCCATCTTCTCCTTCTTTTACTCCGAGTCCCCTCGAATGGTCCGTTTGCCTCTCCTCGCCCACCCCACTTCTCCTCTCCTCCTCTTCTTATGTCCACTCCTGCCTGGGTTTACTGTCTGCCTGTCATACGCACACACACACACACACCCCACCCACCCTGATTTCTCCTCTCCCCCTCCCTCTCTCGCTCAAACGCACACACACACACACGCGCACACTCCTCTCCTCATTTGCACACACTGCCACCGTCACTCTAGAATCCATCTGACCCTGATCCTATTTGGCTCCCCCTCCCTTCCTCCCAGCACGCAGCAGGGAGGAGCTGAACCTGTGTGATGCTGCTGCTGTGTGCGCCTACGCCAGCTCCTGTGGAATTATGGGATAGCTCAAAGGAGGAAGTAGGTTAGAAGAAGGAACCGTTTGGAGGGACAGTCACGTGATTCTATAAGCTTTACGTGCACTGCCTAATCCTGTGGTACAGTGTGTGCTTGTCTGTGTGTGTGTGTGTGTGTGTGTGTGTGTGTGT